CTGGACCTCAACCGCAAGGATCCGATCGCAGTGTGCACCGCTGGACCTCAACCAGATAGTTTGCTAGATAAAATCCACAAACACACAGCAAACACACAATCACAAGCACACGACCACAAACGCGCAACCACAAACACACAACCACAAACACAATCACAAACCACAATCACAAACACAATCACAAACACACAACTACAAACACAACTACAAAGACACAATCACACACACATAACCACAAACACAAAACCACAAACACACAACCACATCACAAACCCACAATCACAAACACAATCACAAACACACAACTACAAACACAACTACAAAGACACAATCACACACACATAACCACAAACACAAAACCACAACCACACAACCACAACCACACAACCACAAACACACAATCACAAACACGCAACTACAAATACAATCACAAACACACAACTACAAACACAACTACATAGACACAATCACAAACATACACACAACACACAACCACAAACACACACACACACACACGCAAACACACAACCACAACCACACAACCACAAACACACAACCACAAACACAAAACCACAAACACACAACCACAAACACACAAACACACAACCACAAACACACAACCACAAACACAACCACAAACACATCCACAAACACAACCACAAACACACAACCACAACCACAAGTACAAACACACAATCACAAACACACAACCACAACCACAAGTACAAACACACAATCACAAAGACACAACCACAACCACAACCACAACTACAAACACATAATCACAAAGACACAACCACAACCACAACTACAAACACATAATCACAACCACTACCACTACCACAAACACAACCACAAACACATCCACAAACACACAACCACAAACACGCAATCACAAAGACACAACCACAACCACAACTACAAACACACAATCACAAAGACACAACCGCAACCACAACCACAACTACAAACACACAATCACAACCAGTACCACAACCACTACCACAACCACAAACACACAACCACAAACACACAACCACAAACACACAACCACAAACACAACCACAACCACAACACAGCACACAACCCGAGGACCCACAAGCAACATCGAGAACTACAATACTAACGACATCTAACGACTATGGCAACATGCTCCGCACTATGGCATCAGGACAAATGATTGAAATGTCATGGTGGGGATCACTCGAAGTAAAGTATTTTTTTTAAAGAGTTGCTTTGGGCTCGTTGTGTCTTCGGATAGGGCCAAAGATGATGATGAGGTTGAAGAAAAGCCCGCTCAGCGAGACTCTAGTTGACCCATCCAGCCATCCAGGAACCCCCAATAGAACAATATCCTGGTACTGGCAGTTCCAGCTCCAATTAAAGATGCATCCAAGGACCAAAGAGGATGATACGCTTTGACTCACTAACATCAAAAGACTACACACCTTGCAATAATCATGGAAGTGGATGGCATAGCAACTGAAGTTTACACGGCAATAGACACCAAAAAACACAGCCGGCTTTCAGAGCTACCTCTGTTCATCAACCTGCCGACGCCATGGCTGCCTTCGAATATTGCGTCATGGACGTGGCCTGGCCAACCAGCGTGGAGGACCAGAGCCTCCTACTTCGCGCCACTTGCTGTGCAGATTGGCACCAACCACCTCCTTGGACGCGGATCGAGTTTCCCTACCTTGGGGCCTTCGACGTTCGTGGAACCTTCGAGATCTGCGAGCTGCACATCTTTTGGAGAGGGCCAGGCAGGATCTTGATGGCACGAACCGTGCCGAAGAGCGTGCTGTGGGTGAGCGCCCTGGAAGCCCATAAGAAAGGTCTGAAGGCGACGCACAGGGTGAACTTCTGCTTCCTACTCTGATGATGTTCATACTTATGTATCCGTCCACTCGATCTCGCTGATGCGGCTTCGGCAAGTCGCCTTTTCTGACACATCTTTCAAATCGTAACTCCCTTCTGTCAGCTACCTAGCCTCTTGATGTCTAGGTTCTAGGTTTCTTCTTCGAGCAACTTCCTGCATCATCGTCTGATGTCGACTCGCTCTTGTTCAACTTGTCTATCTATGTTTCTCATACTTCATCCCTGTTGTGAGCGCTTCTCGCTTTCGAGTCACTTTCTTTAGCTTCCCTTCTTGTTTATCCTCCGTTTCGTGCGCGTTTTTGTTTCGCGCGCTTCTTTGACTTTTTCCATACTACTTGGATTCTTTTTGTTATCTATGATTAAGTTTCTCCCTGCGGCATCCCTATCGTTTCGATGTTTGTTCGCTTATCCTTTCTGCTGCTCGCTTGCATTTGCTTCTTTGCTCTCTTTTGCTATCATCTTGTGTGATTTTTCATTTTTCTTCTTTCATATGACCTTTCTTGTGTGTAGCCAGCCTGTGTTGACACCTTCTAGAAATATATCTTGGTGGGCTATGTGGTCTTCAATGGTCCCACGAGAGGTCTTTCAACACAAGACTGCTACACACTATATAGTGTAATTCTCCGCGCTCTTAAACGGCCTGTGACGTCCGATGACATCTCGGACGGCGAGTCCGTCTGGAGTGTGGAGGTACACCCAGAGTCGCGGGCTCAGCGCCTTTCCACGAAGTTTGAGCCAATCGATTAACGACGCAGCACGTTGTCAGGGATCCGCTCGTTGAGCGCGGGCCAGAATTGCGCGAGCCCAAGCTCTAAGAGTCAGACGTTTGTGCGAACCCGGCGCCCGAACCGAGGCCTCCCATCGGATATGAGGAAGAAGACGAGGATGGATGCCTCGTGCCTACGACGAAGGAGGCACCATCGGCTGGGCGTCGGACACCCAGACTGCAGAGAAACCGTTTCAATTATAGCTTTGTGTGGCTGGCGTCAGGCTCCTCTTCTGAGAGGTCGCCCAGCGTTTCACCGTCGGCCCGCGACCTCTGGACAGTGCGTGGCCAAAACAGACGCAGTTCGATTCAGCGAGCCAATTGTAGTTCATGCGCAGTGCTTCAATTTCTGTTGCAAACGTGTCAATGTTACCCACAATTTCATCCAAGCGGGTTGAAGTGTACGCGAGCCCTAGCACACCCCAAGCTACACCAACATACACCAACTGCAAGTGCTCTGGTCACAGTGACGGAAGTGACGGAGCCCTTCCCTGCCCGTCAAAGCAGTGAAGGGCATCACTGAATTGACCTGAGTTGCGTCACGGATGTGTCATTTGACACACGCGATGAAGCAGCACTGCTGTAGCCGTTTTCGGAATTTCACTTAGAAACTGGCCGTGGCTAACCCACGCCTGCAGCGATGACTTGGACACTGAGCTGACAGCGCCAAACGCGAATTTGGTTAGCGTCCCAATAGACGAACACAATCATCAAACACACGTTCACATTCCGACATCAAGCCGGAAAAGAGACTCAGCGTAGGGATTCTGAGCAAACGGACGCAGATGATCCTCAAACAGCCTGACCAAAACCTCCACTGTGCCTAGATGGAGTTGCAGCTACTCTCGCAAGAAGCCTTTGAGGGAGAGGTCATGCTTTCAGCAATGCGAGCAGGTGCCTGCGCCGCCACATCCCTGGTTCACACTTCAGCTTAAATGCTGCTCCAAAACTAAGGTGATCTGTGGCGGTCCACCAAGAGGTGCCACAACATGACAGATGTAGTTTGTGGGTAGGGGCCATGGCAGCTATATTCACAAGAAGCCTCCGTGCGTCCATGACACGGAGTGGTCATGCTGCCTGCACAGCGACATCCCCTGATCGACTGCTCAGCAGAAAAGCTACACCGTAAATATCGCGCGCGGAATTGCTGCAACGAAAGCAGGTCAAATACTGCTCCAAAACTAGGATGGTGCCTGACCTACCCCAAACACAAACCGGAACTGCCATATATGGCAGCTTTGCCCCCAAAGCAAGAAATTAGGAGGTGGGTCGGCGCCAACAATAACCCACCAACATCCCTCACAACAAGGTGCCAGAACTGCCTGACACATGACAAACGTGCAGAAGGAACCTGTGCGGGAGTGGCAACGCTTTCAGGAACATGAGGAGGTGCCTGACAGGGGCATCCCCAAAGACAAGAGAGCAGGTTAGGTCGACACCAACAACTCACAAACATCATCCCTCACAGATGCCTGTGGACCACGAAGAGGTGCCAGAACTGCCTGACACATGACAAACGTGATTGCGTCTACTAGATGTAGTTGCAGCTACATTGACTAGAAGCCTCCGAGGGAGAGGTCACGCTGTCAGGAAAGCAAGGAAATGCCCCCAGCCACATCCCTTGGTCCACTGCGTGGCCAGAAAATCTTCACCGTAAATGCTGAAATCCGAGCGATGCCCCAAACTTGGATTTTTTTGCTTTGTGTGGCACGGACGAAAAATTTGCAGCCGTTTGCGCGCGTACTCACAAGTGGGGGCTGTTCTGTGGAAGCGCCCCAGCGCGGCGTGGGCATGACATTCTTATCGACGCCGTGAAAGGAGGGTAGCTGCGTTCAGCAGCTATCAAGTAGACCGGCGAATGGAGAAGAACAACTGGCGCGCTAGCGGAACTCCGGGCAGTGAATGCGAGAGACACGATTCTATTCATTAGGGCTTCTGCGGCGTGTGAACACTTATACACATTGTCAATTTAAAAGCATGCTATCTTAGTTCCGGAAGAAGTTATATCTCTCGTCCTAACTTGTAAAATCGAAAAGCGGGCGCTCAATATCCTATACAAAATTTGTCTGGTGGTTTTTGCACTTTTGACATGGTAAGTAAACGATATGCACAGACTTTTCAAAAGAATATCTGGAATATGCTTTGGCGGCAGAAAATGCTTTTACAGTACATGACCTGCAGTGCTGACATGCGTTCAATTACTTGGCTTTCTTATGTTTCCTTCAGCAGGCGCAAACTTTCCATGCCAAAAGCCCTTGTGAATTTGTTGAGGCCAAGAACGAGATGTTGTTCAGCAACGGAGCAAAACAGCAGCGCAAAAACAGCAGCAAACACGAGCAGCAGCGCACAAGCAGCAGCAGGAGGATGGTGGTTCTCGGTGACGTCCAGGCAAGCCTAGAAAGTGGCCGAAAACATTGAAAACACTACTGTAGGGTCTGCATTGCATAATTATGCCAGCATAGATCCCAGATAGGAAAAAGAAAGAAGTGGGCAGCGCTCTGCAGCGGCAGCGCTGTTCTGCCGAGGCATGAACTACCCAGCCCCGCAAAGGCGCACACTGCCATTGACATCTGACAGCAGCACCTTGCTGCGGCACCAGCACCCAGTCTCCAAAAGTCCTCAAAATCAAAAACTCTCAAGCCGCATGGAATAATGAAAACCCATGCGACTTCCCGAAGAGCTTTCGACGCTTTCGTGTCTGAGAGTAATCCCGAGTACCTATTAATAAACACTCCCCAATTAAAAAAACACCACGTCCGAACCCCTAAATTCGGTTTATATTTGGTTTTAAATTGCCACCCTTTCAAACCGCTACTAAGCTACCAACATGGTCGATTTTGGGGGTAGTTTTTTTTTATTAGGTTCCCAAAACTCCACCATGACACGCCGCGCTTACACCAGCAGGCTTTCCTTCCCTCAATGGCACGGACTCACGCAAACGCACTTGCCACCGAGGTCATGCAACACCGCATGGCACAGCGACATCACCTTTCGAAAGCTTTAGCTGTTAGTCTACTGAAGAATCACTATTCTAATGAAGGTTTTTGGAGGGGAAAAGGAAGACCCTTCGATCTGGCGGTTTTTTGCATTTTTGATACGAGTTTAATAAAGGATTTTATATAAAATTTTCCTGGATTACTTTTTGGTTTTGAAACTCTTTGCAAGTGACACTATTTTGGCCCCCCCCGATTTCAGGGACCCCCTATTAGAAAAAATGCGACCGAGGTTTTTTTAATAGGGGGGGGGGGGCCCGTGTTTATTATTAGGAGGACGGGATTATTCGGAACATGGGTCATCCTTTCGGGGCGAAACGAGCGTATTCCATTCTGCTCGCTAGGTTCCACGCTCCGGAGTCTGGACCTCGAGCGTCGATTGGCGCGTTGCAGGGACGCTTCTGTCGAATGTCGTAAGTTGTAAGCATAGATTGTTGCACGAGGCCCCACCTCGCATCGTTGCCGTCAATGCACTCACAGGAGAGGGTGTCTACACGGTTGAGCACCCAGAAGTCACCGCCGCCGCGCGAAGCTTGGAAGCGCAATTCTGTTTGAACCGAGGTGAGGGGACACGGCGGGTGGTTTCGACCACTTGCTGAGCGGATTCTCCGCGAGCGGGGAGATCGGTGGCCAGAGGGCGTGAGTGACGCGCAGGTTTGCTTTCTTGTCGAAGGCGCGCTGCTCACGCCTCACCTTTGGTCCGCTATACGCTATAGGCAGACCACGGCGCGTCCAATATTTGATTATCGCGTTGTGCGAAGATTGAAAAAGAGATTTGCAGCGCGGAGCGCATGGATACTGCCAAGGTATTTGTTGGCTTTTGATTGTTTGCTTTGCTCCACTTTTCGTTGCTTCCGCCGGCCTTTTTTTTAGGCTCTTGCTTGTCAGTTGCACTTGCTCTTTTTTACTTGATTCTCTCACGTCAAGACCTTGTCTTTTTGTTTATCTTTAAAACTTTGCTCTTTTCTATCACAATAAAATAAGTTGGAAGTGAAGAGAAACAAAATAAAAGGGAAGCTGTATGAGTCGGAGCCTTTAAAAACGGAAACCAAGGAAAGACTATAATATTTCAAAGCACACAAGCAAAGAAACCAAGTCGACAGAAGGAAACGGTCAAGAAATGGTCAAAACCGCCTCTGCCATTTGTTACCCCCTGCACTTAGTATTACGCTAAAGGACCCGAAGGGTTTGCTCACTGGCTCAATGGCAGTTGAAACACAGCTGTGGTTTTGAAAGGGCGCAAGAAGACATGTTTCATTTGGTGCACAATGGTGGGAAAACCACCTTTGCGCCTTTCGGCAGTCATTCCAAGTTCCCGGTTCAGTTTGTTTCCAATGCAGAGTACCATATCATTTGACAATCAAGCCAGCAGGCCAATAGTGCCTACCAAGCCAATACCGGCAACAGAGCCAGAAAACGGGCGAACATCATTCAAAGTTTGCGGAGGTGGCTTCGAGCTGTTTCAAAAACATGGTGTGCGTGCAAATTTCATGTTTTCAACCTGAACCGCATCCCATCGCCGTTAGCTTGCAGTTTTCCAGTCCGTTCCATCCCCGGGTCCTGAGTGAACGGTGAGGATGCGTGAGAGGAAAAAGATGGAAAGATGAAAGCATTTATGTGCTGCTTCTGTGTTGCTTCTGTGCAGTTTGTCCGCTGCTACTGCTGCTGCTGCTTGTGTGCTGCTGCTTGCTGCTTGGCTGCTTGGCTCCTGCTGCTGCTACTACTGCTGCTGCTTCCACGCTGTGATTGGAATGGTGTGATACAAGACTCAAACTTTCTGGCCATCGGCCATCAGCAAAACATGAGCGCGCTTGTAAGCAGGAACCTGATGTCACCCGGTCGCATCGGGCCAATACTTGCGGATTAGTTTCTTCGAGTCACCTGATGTGACTAACTTTTGTGACAATACCAAACAGGGGGATTTCGATCCACTTCCGTATGACTATTTTTAATTGGGGTGGGTCTTCTTTGTGCCCGGCGTTCATTTTTGAGCTGTCAGCGCACCGCAAAGCCAGCAAAGTCCACCCAAACAGTGTCCTGTACCATTAGGACAGCCCACAGGCAGTATTTCCATGGGTGCCAAGGACAACGGCTTCTGGGACACGTTCCGAACGGCCAAAGTCTCAGGAAGGGGGATGCAAGAGGATGGCGGCATGGGTCGGATGGGTCGGATGGAGGGTAACTTGACTCTGGACCCACCTGCCCAACAGTCCAGTGCTGTTCATAATTTGGTCGCAGGTACTTTATGGTACTTTTGTTCAACGCATGAAAAACATCCAACATGCGTAAAGATGTTTCCTATTTTCTTGACCTTGGGTGGTTTGGACGTTGAGTTTTGTCCATCCACTTAGTACTCCCTGACAAAACTGATGGCCTAAACTGGTCTTCTTTCTCTTTCCGATAGACGTCATTGCCTCATTCACTTGGACCGCTGGTCAAGACAGCTTGGCGTGCTCCCACAGACCAATGGTCTTGACAGGCAGGATGGTGAGTAGCGTTGCAGTAATTTACTAACATCGAAGTGGAGGGCATGGCACCTTGGAAGACTCCTTTCAAATTACAAACCGGGGGTGCCATCCACAAAACCATGTTCGTCAGTGTTTTCCGTGACCCGTCACTTTTTGTTTAGGTCTTGGTGAGTGATGTTGGTGGTCTTGGATGTTTTTTTGTACAAAGCCGACGGTGACTGGTGGTGTGGTGTTGGTTGTCCAGCACGTGCATGAGTGTAGAACCCTTTTTGTGATGCGGCCCCACAATGGAGTATTTGATAGAGTGCAAAGGTGTGCACCGTGGAAAATCGTCGAAAGGTTGTGCTTTCAAAAACCTGGCACCTGGCATCGACCTGAGGTTTCTGAACCATATATGGGAATTTTTTGAATGTCTATGATGATCTTAGCACTCGTGTCCTCCATCAGGGGCGACTAAAAAGTATTCTCTTTTGACTGGATGGAGTCCATGTCCCCCTCCCCGTTCGCCACCTCTGCGCGTCTACCACACGGCCCAGCGAGGTCTATCCCTTGCTCTCGATCGCCTACCCCACGCAACTGGCCAACTTCATCGTGGGATGGCTCAACGCCTATCAGGCCTGGGTGGCCTGGGCAGGTGCGAATGAGAAGCCCATCCAGGTCCATCCTTCCAGTGGCGGGATTTTGGACACACCTGGAGTTTTGAGAGGAGTTTTTCTTTTTTTTTCGACTCAGATGTTGCTACGTGGCCACGTGGAGGTCTTCGAAGTTGAGGTCACACCGCCGTGTGGCGGTGATGTAGTGTAGGCACATGAAGCTCGATCTTCTTGCATCCAGAGCTCGGGGGTTTCTTCCACAACCCTTGACAACTGCTTGTTTTTTGGTGTTTTTAGTGAGTGATGAGCATCTTCCTTCCATTGTCTGTGGTGCAGTACTAGTAGTACCTAGACCCAAGGGCCAATCATTTTGCAAGTTATCTTCAACTGTTATCTCCCAGCCAGTGCTCCCTGCCGAGTGACCCGCAGCTGGACCCTGCCGATCCTCCTTGGTCGGTCCGGGTGTCCGGAACGCCCCGCACCGCGGGGGTTGTAAGGCGGGCGGTTGGCTACCGAAGTGGGCCAGCCCTGGCTATCGGGACTCCATGGCCTGGGGCACCTGGAGAGTCGGCACCTCTTGGGCACCTGCATTCGGCGGAGGTAGACCACTTTATAGGGAGCGGCTTTGGACGGCCATCAAAGGAGCTAGGGATGGAAGCCAAGTCAAGTTTCCTTTGAATATAGTAATATAGTGTGAACATTCATTCAATAAACAGTGTATCACAAACTATTTTAATAGGCGGGTTGAACAATACAAAATACATGATAGAAAAGGTAAAAGAGAAATACCTAAAGAAGGTTATATTGATGTCCAATGTACTTACTGTGGATGTGGGTTTACAATAGATATTAAAAAGGGTAGTGTATCAATTGCAGCTTACTGCCATAGATATAGTTGTTTTAACATGGTTTAAATGTATTTTTTTTTAAACAAACTATACATGTTATTTTTGGAGTGTGTGTGTAAATACATAAACAATAAATAACATTAATAACATAGATATTTAGAACTGTATTTAAAGAAATAGTGGGTATATATACTAGGTAATGGATACTGCAAAGGATGTCAGAATAACAGATAACAGAACATTACTGTAGAGAGATTTACTGAAGGGTTTAAAACCTGCGACACTTGTAGAGCCAAATAATCAAGCATATATTACAATAACATACAACAACTGGTCTTCACCCACAACTGTACACATCTTCACAATATGCCTGGCAAGCTCAGAAAGGTAGGTCCTGGGGGGGGGGTAGCATATATGCATTACATTATATTATATTACATTATATATATTCATATTATATATATATATATGCATATCCACTCACATTCAGAAATTCAGTAGCTGGAACCACGCCGATCTGTGCCCTCTGAGGTGGGGACCTTCGCAGACGTGGTGCTGGCAGATGCCGTGATCAAGAACATTTCAGGCCCGGAAGTGCCCCGGTGAGCGGCTCACCTCGGCAAACCGGACGAAGAAACAGCTGAGTGTTTTAGAGACTGCAGGTTGTTTTAGAGACTGTTTTATGGACACAAGGAGCAGCGGAACTTAAGTGGTAGAGGATTGGCATTCTTTTCTTGATGGCTAGCTGCTAGCTCTCTCCCCTTTTCAAGGTTCAACTATCGTTGCCGATTTGAGCATGCGTCAGGGTCCTTGTCTGAATGCGTTAATGAAAGAAACCATCTGAACAAGCCCTTAGTCTTTGAGCACGGAACGAACTTGACTTTTCATTTGGGGCCAAGATCTCTGGATTCATCGCGATGGAGTCATTTTTGAAGAACTTCTCACTTCTCTTTGTCAGATCCACTGAGGAACCCGAGTGGATCGCGTGGAAACTTCGTCCTTCCCATTCAAAGCCTTTGATTTGGCGTCATCGGACACTTCTGGCTGCGACCAAAGTAGGGAATGAGAGAATGCCGCCCCACTCAAGATTCGGATGAAGAACCACCCTCGGTGAACCCACGAGGCAGACGGATGTCCACTCTCCGAGGCTTTGACCTCGACCTGGTCTGGCAAGCCTTGTACAAAGATGCCTACGAGGTGTGGAGATGTACAGGGGGTCTTTCTGAATTTGTTCGAATGTGTATTCCACCTTTTTTTTGGGAGGCGCGGGCCTACACACTGAAATTCATACACAAATTCACCTCCAAGTTCTAAGAGTGGAGATCCATCCATGACATGCGGCCCAACTGTTGTACAACGGTTGATGGTGAGTTGGGGTTGGGCAAACGGGACGGACGAGACTTTAAAAGCATTCTTAGGCCCAACAACTGCCGAGGAGAATTAGCATTCTCAGCTCAGCTCATTGACATATAATATATGCAGATGTTGGTCAAGACCTTCCCAAACTTGCCAAGCTAGATTCACAGAGTTTGATCATGTTTCATCTCTATCTTTGGACATCTATCCACATCGATCCACATCGATCCGAGAAAAAAGCTTCAGAACCTCCTCGCCGACATCGAGACGGTTTCTTCATCATCGTTCCGATGGATTAAAGCCAAGACATGTCGAGTGCGTCTCTAGACCTCTGAGGCACCCGACATTTTCTGCGACCTGGAGATAGAAATGACAGTGGCTGTCTTATCATAACCCTCCCTGGAGACGAGACATGCAATCTACCTCATGATACACTCGTCAAAACGACGGCTTTTCTTCACACCTCGGTCCAAACGTTGCAGTGCAAGAATGGAGCAAGAAACTGCTAGACTCACATGGGAGTAAGTTGGACACGTGCCAGTCCACATCGTTTTCAGGTCTACAAGAAAGATTCCTCCCGTGGGAAGAAGGGCCTGGAACATTACAAGGCCCCGCTGTGGTACGCGCAACGCGACATGTTGGTCAAACAAGACACCTCCAACATGTTGTGTTTCACAGCCTCCAGGCAGTTTGGGTCGCAAAAAAAATCACCCAGCCGTATGTGCCATGTGTTTTCTGGAAAGAACAACATCAGAGATTGGTGACCATTTAAGGCCTGCGATGAAAAAAAAGGACCAACGACCATGGTTCGCTGAAGTCCACATGCTTGCTCACGCCAATCAGCTGCACTTCGGAACCGATTTGGGGAGCGCGTCACACGATGGTGGAGGATCACATGCTCTCGAGAAAAAGTCTCAAACGCTTGAACGATTTGGCCCGTCAGCTGCAAAGCGGTTATACGTTATATATATATATACATGATTTTATATATTGAGTTGTAGCCCAATTGGTTGTAAATGCATGTTATATGGAACGTTTGTGTTCTTATAGCCCCACCCCAAACACGATAGGAGACGCCCCCAAAACGGTACCCCAAAACGATACCCACCCCAAAGTGTCTAAACCTGAAAAACGATAGGGGATGCCCAAATTCACTTATGAATGCAGCCCAAACCAATAATTTAGACGCTGGCTCATATCCATTCCTCCAACAGGGTGGGAACTTATTTCGATCATTTTCGATGCGGTGTACAAGGACACAGACCCATAATATCATAATGTCAATTTAGAGCTATATAATACTAAAAGCTATATCACGTATCAGATCATATCAGAATATATCAGACCCCATATCCGAAATGAACATCGCCCGATGCATAGGTAGTTGTTTTCCAGCAATATAACATACAACCTGAATGAAAATACAAGGAACCAAATGGACAAACACGCATGTGAACTTACCATAACTTACCATGGGTTTGGGGTTCCTCGGTTTTGACCCGCGTTGAGCCTTCGATTTTCGTCCGCGACGTCCATCGGAAGGAGAAAGGCTTCGTCCCCATCGACGTGGGTGTGAGCGAGGCGTGGGCGAGCGACAGCTCCACTCCATCGATGTGGACAGATCCACCAGCCCGGAAGACCGGACTTTGGACCGACCTGGTCCTTTCGGACCTGGTCCGGACCACGTGTTCTTCGATGTGGAGCAACTTCCGAAAGGGGAACGTGCTTGGATGCACCCTCCATCTATCGCCCCTGACGATCAGCATCAGCGCCGGACCCTTCTTCACAGATGATCAGCCTCACTGGGCAATGTGGTCAATGAGGAACTAGCACTTCAAAGGTCTCACTCTCGCATCACTCACTTCTGTACTCGCACTTGGACTCCCACACACCACCGTGGCTGATACGCCACCCTTGCGGGGGGGGTCATCGATTTTGCCAAGTGTTTTGTTGAGGTGCTGGGGCCATGAGGGGGGGAGCAAACAAGTCTATGAGTGCATGTGGTGATTTTTGGCTTACGACTCTGTTGTTTCGCGTTTGGTGTTTGGAGTTGTTGTTTCGTGTGAGCCCCTTTTCTTTGGAGTACACAACCGGACGGGGGTGACGAGAACCACGGACACGAAAACAGCTACAGTAAGGCCTTTTAAAACACCCATGAATTCAGAAAAACATAGAACAAACATGCCAAAACCGGCAGATTGCGGCGAAGATTTTCACCGGCGGCCGTGGGGTGAAACACCGCCCATTGGCCCATTTCTCTGTCTCCGGTGCGCTCTCCCGGAGGCCTGCAGCCGCACCCTGGACTTCGCCTTCGCAGATGCGGCCTGTGCCGCCGTGGCGCGGCGCACGCGGCGGGTCGCGGAGGCGGAGGAGCTGCAGCAGCGGAGCCGAAAGGCCGGGAGAGGCGGAGTACCGGGTGGGGGTCCCGGAAGGCCGGCTGCGGGTCAGGTGGGGTGGGTCAGGTGGGCAGGGTCTTTGGGGTCGATCTGTATGACACCATGGATCATATAAAAAAAGCTGTATACAGCAATATACGGCATATATAATAACTAGTATAGTTATATTATAATGTCACATCATATATCTATACATATGTGACAGTGACTTTTTAGCCACATCCCCAAGGGCCAGAGATCACTTCTATATTTTCCTTCTCGAGTTGAGGCGTTTGGAGCCCTCTGACTCGTCTTCGAACCCTCTGACTCTCCAGGCGTTGCGAGAGCTCTATGACGCCAAGACGGGCTTGATGGGGCATCGCAAGAAGAATCAGGTCCTGAGGGACGAGGGCGGACGAGGGGGACGAGCGCGTGGGATGCGTGAACAAGTGTACCTGGGAGCGCAGAGGTTCGGGATGTCAAGGGGATGTGCACTGCAGGGGATGTCATGTACAAGATGGCGAGTGACGATGCTTTGATTCTGGCACCAGGATCCATGATCCATCAGCATGATCACCATCATCCATCGTGATGGTGATGGCGGTTTGATGTTCGACCGGTCGACCGCGATCGAACGAACGGAGCGTTCGTGAGGTGTGAGAGCTGAGAAACCCACAGCCATACGACTGAGTTCAACGGCAACATGTTGGTGCTCCTGGTTCTTTAGTCTTGGATTTGCTGATATCTTTTTATAATGGAATGTTTGATCATTGACTTAGCTTTGTGGCTGTTCATGACAGGTTAAGTATCTCTCATATTGGGAAGAAGTATCCTGCCTATACTACTGTTGTCCTGAAGTCCTGAAACACAAATCTTCATGAGAGAGGACTCCTGTGAAAAGATTGATCAATCCAAGTGTTGTAGGATCAATCATGACTATAGTTCTACTCACACTAGATTCTACAGCATGGATCAAACCACACACAGGAACGACTCGAAACAACAATCACAAACATCCTTGTTCAGTCATGACTGCCCGTGGTGCCGCTCTTGTGCCGCTCGGCCAGCCACTTCAGCCCTTCCTCTTCAGCTCTTCCGGCCCCGAATCGACCGGCGGGTGGCTCCGTGCCTCGCAGGACTTCGTGGAGGAAGCGCCGGAGACCTGGGGCGATTGCTACACCGAGGCCGGTGCCAACAAACCGAGGGACCGCGGTGTTTGGAGAGGGGACGGCCGGGGGGAGCGGCTGAGGCGGCTTCGCAGTGGTCGCACACGGTGTGGTAACGGGAGCCAGGGGGAATAGATCTGAGATGCTGACAGCCGTATTTTCAGCATTTTTCCAGCCATTTGACACTATGCATTCTTCTTCCTGCAACATCCGGAAGATGAACATCTCTCTAGCGGATACAAATCTTGGATTGTCTTTGTAATTGTACAGTTTAACAGAGATGCTTTTGCTGGAGATGAATACGTAGAACCTTTCAAATTGCATTTGCAACCCGCTGGTGTGGGAAGATGGCCTGGTAAACTATTGGTAAACATAGGTCCGTCCTATGTCAGTCTAGGAAATGAATTGCTGAGGTTTTAGTTGAAACTTTGCTGCATTGCATTGCAGATGCTGTACACTTTTTTTGTTCCAGCAGGGTTGCACTGCCAAATCGGTGCACTGTCAACAGCAAAATACATCCGTACGCACCATTTGTTGACACACTGGATACATGTATTTCTTTAAACAGGCATTAGGATTCCTCCCACCAGTAGTTTATACAATAGGCTTTAGAGCACAACCATTAGTTTACTAGATTTTACACAAAACCAGGTCCACCATTATCAAAATGGTCTTGGAAGGCTACGGCGACCTGCAATGCCGCTCCTGTCCAAAAAGAACCTCTGGTCACCAAAGGAGTGCTCGCATGTAATTATATATATATATATATATCCATATCCGTACGGGAGCAAACGAAACCAGAAAAGGAGCGCATATATAATATATATATAATATATATAATATATATATATATATTAATATACATATTTCCATACAAATCTCTATCGTCTCACTCACCGCGCGCGCGGTTCACGACAGCCTGCCCGGTACCTTCCGAGGGCTCGGCGTGGCATCACTCCTTCCCTCCCTTCGACCTGGAGACCTTGGCAGATGCCTGGCTGCGTGAGAGGTGGCGGACGGGTGAGAGAGGTGAGAGACTCCTTCGGTCGCACCGAAACGAGCACAGATTTGGGTGTGGGCAGATGAGGCAGAGGTGTTGCCAGAGCGAAGATTTGAAGACACAGATGTCAAGGAGGAAGGTAGAGAAGAGCCCAGGTTTCACCCCTCTTGGAGGTGAAATTTGGGGTTCAAGTATATATTCATCTGCAGGTTAGCAGGTGGTATTTTGGATGCCTTCTCACTTCCCATGATCCGTTGCGAAAGGGAGGATCGTCCCATTTCGGTTCGTTTCGCTCGGTGAAGCTCCAGATACGAAGAGCTGTTCGGCTAGTCGGCGAGTCGTCCAGCTGGGCCCGGGTTTTCGGGTGAAGAACCAGGACCCGGGTCTCTGGCTCGCCCAGGTTTCAAGGTAAGTGGCTGTCGTGGCTGTGGCTCGTCGCTTGTTCCAAGAAACACGTGGGGTTCGTTTCCGACTTATTCAAGTAGGTTAAACCACCCGTGCGTTTTCAGTTCGTTTCCGTGGCGACCCACTGGGCTCAGCCCGGGTGGACCCCGTGGTCGTTTGGACGTGGCACTGGTCGTAAAGACCTCAGCCACGTCGCAGGGCCGGGAGCGAGCGAAGCTGAGGAGTTGCATGGTGGACGTGAGGGCTTGGTGGCAAAACTGGAGTCACTCTTCACCGTGCCTGCGGATTTCAAGACAGGCTCCTACAAGGTGGGAGAAAGGCTCGACCTCTTGGGTCGAACCAACTGATTACGTTCATTGGTGTTTGAGGAATTGGCCAGATCAAGTACTTCTGTCCTCACCCTTCTCCAACGGCTGCAAAGAGGATTTTAGTTTCATTTAGCTTCGTTCTTGTACGATAATTCTGGATGATCCAAGTAGATCCCAATCGGATAGGGCGGTGGAGGGAAAGGGACCCTTCATGCTCTTCCCCTTCGGTCGCCCCTTCAGCGTCCGAACCCCCAATGGGTTTTCGGTCGACCGACCCTTCGGCAGGGCGAGATCCACGAGATGCGAGAGATGAGGATGTTGGGGATGGGCTCCTAGGCCGAGCATGGGATGTGTCGCTTTCGGACCTCGGATGGTTTCGGGCAGAGGTTTGGGAAAGATCCGGTTTGAGCCACGTAGAAAAGCCTCAAAGACCCGTGGGCCATGGTGGGCCTATGTCTTAATTTATTGATTTATTTATTGCTAGTTACTTTTTAAACACCTGTTTTAAACTAATTATATAATGTTTAGTTGTGGTCACCTGTACCCAGCAGTGTGGTGATCGTCGAAACCAGAAAAGGACTTTGTTCCTGGCTTGGTGGTGTTGCTGCAAGTTCGGGCATAGGTATCCAGAGTGCTACCTGTGACTGGCATAGGGTCACAGGCATCTACGATTGTCCAACCCCTGAAAAGCAATAAAGCGGGTCAACAAGCATGATCATTGTCCAACCATGTCCAACCCACTGTTTGTTTGAACCAGAACTTTACGCCAGACCAACAACTCCAGCCACTGTGGCTTGGCAGTTTTTGTTGGCAGCCCCCAAATGCCTCCGATTCCACCACCCTTCGTGGTCTCTGACCTGCTACTCAGCTGGCCAGTCAGGTCAGTATGCCCACAACAATCAGCCAACACATCATCTTCCGTACCTGCTGCTCGGGCGCATGGGCTCCACCGCATGTGGCATGGACAGTGGCGCTGTGACACGCAGAATGGAGTCCAGTTTTGGGGTCTTTCTCTGTACTCGTGTTACCAGTACTTGGGATTTAGCACTGTCAAGGAATGCCACACAGATGGCAAAAGAGAGAGGTCAATCAGGTCCGCCCATGTCCGCCCACCTACACCGGGAATGGCGAAAAGCTCTTCGGAACAGCTGAAGGAACCGTTCAACGGCTATTCGGTCCGCACTTGTTGCATCTTCTTTCGCAGTTTTTATTCTATATATTTTTTCTCACTTTGGAAGGAGAGGACTCAACTAGCTTCGAGCGGATGAGTTGTGATTCTCTCTTAGTACAGTCTTTGTGCCAAGAATGTTGGTCAACGTCCGGGATCCACACCGCACAGATGCTCGCTCGCGAGGCTCACACGGTGCCACCCGCGCGTGCCACCCGCGCGCGGCTCGTGGCCGAGGTTTTCGCTCCTCGGGGATCAGAACCGCACGGCTCGTCTGGTGCGGGACATCCTCTCGCGCGCCTACTCGCCCGAGGGCTTCGCGGGAGACGAGGAGATGGTGGGGAGGGGAGGTCACCAGAAAGGTGGAAGTTGCAGGAGGGCGGTGGAGGGTGATGTGCGAGAAGGTCCAGGTTCACAGAGATGGCGCAGGGTGGATGGTCCAAGAAACGAGCAGGCAAAGAGTGTGGGGTGATCGTTTGGAGAGTTTTACATTTAAGAGCGCCACAATAGATTAAAGTGCTTGGAATGTCTCTCATCCACTTGCATCCACTTTTAGGATCATAGATGACCATAGTATATCATTGATTCTATCATGATATATCATTGATTCCAGACCAAACCCAGACCAAATCCACTCCACAGATCAAGAAAAAACATGAACAAACCCATCCAAATCCGAAGCACCCAGGACAACGGGGAGATGGGCTCCTGGTACGTGCTCTCCGCCTTGGGTTTGTACCAGCCGGTGCCTGGGCCGGTTTGAACGACTCCTCCTGGACCCTTTGAGACAAGTGTGTGTGTGGCCGAAGGCACGGGAATGAACCAATCGAATGACCAGAGGTAAGGAGCTGACCAACTGGGTTCCTGATACTTCAAATCATCTTCAAATCATCTTCCGTAGAGGAGTTCATTCGATGCCGTGGGCCAGCCGGCGCCAGCCGGCGAAGCGCCAGCCGGGCGCCGAAGCCTGCGACACGTCATCGAAACAATTCTTCCAACAACATATCTTGTGTAAATGTATGTAAATGCTCAAAAGTCCCAGACTCGGGACAGGAAATGACCCCCTCCTTTCAAGACTGCACAGATGTATATATAGTGTATCAACAAGCACCCAAATCCTCACTCCGCAGCGATCCTGCCGATCTTCCAGGCGCCCGGCGTGACGGAGAACTTCACCCTGGGCGCGGTGCCGCTCTTCCCCCGCGCAAGGCGGGTGCGGCAATGGTGGACATGCGATCGGCGCGGGAAGGCTGATAGCTATCTGATAGAACGCAAGGTTCACGTAGACTCTTGGTTAATTCACCCGTTGATGAAGATATGTTTCATATTTTTTCATGTTTTTTTTTCATGCATGTCAAATGTGTTTAAAGATGAATTTGGAGTCTTGGAGTCTACATTTAGAGTCTACATGCAGTGTGCATTGAGCCCCCCAAAGATGCTTTCCAAAAGAGTTCTCCTTGGACCGTGCGACCGGTCAAGGGAACGTCCGGACGGTTCCGTTGCGCTCAATGGTTGGGCCGGATGTGCCGGATGTGCCGCCCCAGGAGATGCAAAGGACTGGAAACACGGAAGGAATGGCTATGGCTATGGCGCTTTAAGGTAGCAGGAACTAGAGTCGTGTTGAAAGCACAGAGCTCCGTCAGTCTGATGTTTTGTGCATTGACATCAAACTCGAGATCACTTCTACCATCTTCTACCCTAGCTGTAGCAGTCGTACTAGTAGCCTGGAATTGACATCACATGAATCAATATGAATCAACATCAAAGTCAATGAATGTCAATGATGGAAACCAACAGAGGTCTATACTTATATAAATATAAAAATTGGATGGTGAGATATGGTGAGCAGTCAGGCTGATGCTGGTAAATCACACAGTCCATCTCCTTTGCTCCAGGCCCTCCTTTTCGACCATAACCCATCCGATCCACCCATCTGTTCCACCCCTCCGATCCACCCCCCCCCACGTTCAACCGATGTCAAGTGATGCGGTTCACTCGATCGACTCGACCGCTCTGTCCGAGGCTGCGCGCCTTGGACATCACCGTGGAGGCGCCCTCGGCCGCCGAGGCCGCACCGGCCGTGCAGGCGCCCTGGGCGCCTTCGCGTGCGACCTCTCGAGGGACAATGGTGGCATGGGCGCAGCTGAAGCGGTCTGTTTGGGATTAGAGCGAACATGTTCTGGATATGTTCCATCCCAAACAGAGCGCTTCAGCTGCACATCTCATATCATTAGAGATGTTTATGACATTTTTGTGATTAGACCTTCAAGGTAGTCAGACTAATGGGTGTTCGATGGAGTTCCTTCTGCGAGTTCGAGCTGAGCTGCGGTCGTTGACCGTTTGGAGGTCGTTTTGTGGCGCTCGAGTCCCATCGTGGGCACAGCCATTGCCTACTCCAAGCTCAGAGTCACGGCTGCGGGTTCGGCACGGAGCCGACGACGGGTCTGGTGGGCAATGAAATTGCTATGGCCTGGGGATGTATATCATTCAATATCATTCAATATGATATACATAATCGCCCTGGGGATGATATATTGCTATGTTCAGATTCGCCCTGGGGATGTATATCATGTTCAATATACTCTGATAGGGTGGGGCGAATCTGAACATTTGGAGAGACGTGGGCTGACTGACTGGATCGCGTCCAGTCCGAGGCCGATTGGAAGACGTGCTCTGCCGCCGATGTCAGGCTTAAAGCTGCCGATGTCGGCCTAGAGGCTCATGTCGGTATCAAAGCAGTAGATTGGATTGGATCTTGAAATTTTGTGAGATTTCCGGATTGACACTGTCACTGAAAGTCCCAGACCTATACTTGCGCCCTTCAACAGGTGTTACGTATCAGGACCACATCTGAATCTGCGAACACCGCAATCTGTCGTTCCGTATACCACACCCAGCTTCTTGTGTGTCGCGAGTACCTCGTGATAACAAGCTATGAAGCGAAAATAAAAGTGGAGATGGTCATCCTTATGGGGTCATGCCATCCATGAGTTCAGGGAGGGTACGCCTCCCAATGGCTCTTCCCACCATACTATTCACATATGGTGTGTATACAGTGGATGAAAAATGGACGCCAATAGTAGAAAGGACATCTTGAGGTGTTGAGGTGCCATCTACTCTGAAACCAGTGCATCTACTCCATTGAGATCCATGCAGTTCCCAGGAATGGGCGGCATCTTGCGGTTCTTGTCACCCGAGACGTCCGGACAGTTGGGCAACGTGGTGCGGGGTTCAGAAATTCGCCGAAGAACGCGCGTGTCTCGCCTTTTCTGCTGGAGGGTGATGTTTCCTTTTTAAAATATTTGTAAACATATATATAATGTTTGTTTATGCAACTTGGCTTTTGGCATCTGTGTCTTGGTGGCTTCTAGGGCTTTTGGTGGCTTTTGAGTTCGGTGGGTTCTGCGGCTTTTGGCTGTTTATGTGGCTTTATGTGGCTTTGGGCTGATGTTTGGTCGCGGGTTGGTTTGGTTTTTGATGGTTTGTTTTTGGTTCTCGTGGATGTTGTTGGACTGTGATGGCTAATTAGGCTTTGATATTTTTTTTCTGTTGGCATTTGTTAGCTTTTTGCTGGCTTGGCACTTGACTTGGTGCGCTCTGGGGGGGGAGGCGCTGTGCCGGCTGCGCCCTACCCGAACTAAAGCCCAAGCAGTTTGGGGGAGATGACCCCATTGCCACAGACAAAACGGCACCCTCCTCAGAGGAGGCACCAGAAAACGACGACTACACCGCTGGGAACCTTCCTAGGTTGCCCTCATAAGGGAGCTATTCCCAAAAGAACAAACAGACCAAAATCAACAATGCCATTGCAGCGTGCTGCGTCAGATCCTCCCTCCAATCCATCATGGGCTGAACAGTGCCCTTCGGACCTCTGCGAACCACCGGTCACAAGGAACCCTGGCTGAGGGCCAAACCCACCGGTCACTGGAACGACCGGTCTCCACGCCACGCATGGTGAACGACCTTGGCCATGCTGGGCCGTGGGTGCCGGATGGTAGTCCGAATGGGCATCCGCTGAAGGGTCCGAAGAGCCGACGGTGGACCAGCAAGCCCAGACACCAGCAAGCTATGAAACAACTGGGAATCAGTCAGTAGTATGAAAAAAGTATGAATAGTAAGGTCAAACAAGTAGGCACTTGTTGGTGCTTTCTTTGTTCAATTGGTCAATCATTGAATCACTGAAAAGCAAAGTTTTGACATCCGGCTTCGGCCTGTACGTCCGAACAGCCGATGACCCCAGCAACTGACCCCACTTAAGATGATGGAAAAAGATTAGTGGACATTCCTCAGTGAGGTTTACCACATGTTTACAAACCATCTGACCGTGACATAGCGGGCTGGAAGGGTGACAGCACCATGGATCTCCATGGGTCCATGACAGCACCATGTCCCATCCAGGTAGGGGTAGGGTGGTTTCTTCCAGCCCCCTGGCGGCGTAAAAGGAACACATTTTGCCGGAGTGTCGGTTGATTTACAGCAAATCGGTCTGGATCAGGTCTCTTGTTTCCGGTGATGCTCGGGTGGAACCTCTTTGCCTCCAGTGACCCTACGGCGGCAGTAATGAAACGAGGGACGAAGCGCGGTGCGCCAGGTCTCCTCCTTCCGCGGAGCGCTCCACCGTGCAGCACGCCAGGTGCAGGGGGAAGTGACGGCCAGAACCGCGAGATGCATGTTACCCGCCTAACATGAAACCTGAGAATGGACCGCTCATTTTCCTGTACAACCCGGACGTGGTTTTGGGGCTTCCATGTGGTCCGAGAGAGGTCCTAGGTGATGCACCGCATGACCGTTGGGCCACAAACGGATGAAACGGAACACCCACAGGTTCGATCTACCTGGAACATCGGTGGTCTCTTAACTCATGGAGAGAGGGCCAGGCAATCCTGGAAGTCCGAATGGAGAGAGAGGTTGGCTAAGCCTGCTAAGCTATCAGGCTATCATCCTGGAAGTCCGAAATGTATCTATAAATGTTGTGTATTATATAGCCTATCTGGCTTAGTTGGCTTAGCTGGCTCGCCATCAAGTAAAAAGCTGGCACCCAGCAACTCAGGAGGTTTGTCTGGAGGACGACCACGGGACTTCAAACTTTTTGGCAGCTTGCTTGGTGCTTTGACGCGGATTTTGGGATCAGAGGTGCGGCCTTGGTGGTTCAACAGTGGCGAACGGCTGCAGCCGCAATGAAGGTGATAACATGTGATAACCAATATGCAAGCCACGTGCCATGTTCGCAACTCGCAGGGCTTTCGAGAAGACGCGCTGTTCGAGCAACAGCAGCGTGCCATGTTCGCCGACGACACAACACCACGGGGTGAACTTCCCACAGCTGTCCATGGTCATGTTGATATGATTGGCATCGTTGACAAAGTGGTTGAGAAAGTCGGACGCAATGTGGTTGACAAAAAGTCTGATAGAATCCACCTATCTGGTGCTTCAAAAAAAGGAATTCTGAAAAAGAGCAACCTGTGATTGGCACTATACTTAGACCTTCCGAAGTCTCACCAAAACAATCTTCATGCGTTTTCAGTGCTTTCGAATGTTACGTACTATATAAGACGATACTAACATACGTGCGTTCCGCGGCCAGGTACGCCAGTCGGCCGAGCGTTCTGCGGAGCAGCGCCAGACGCGCGCGGCGAACGCGCTACCGGCGCCTTCGGCATCTGTCGTGGTGGAGGAGGTGGTGATCGAAGCTCCGGAACAGGCGCGATGGAAAAACACGGGGCGGGTGAGACGTACCCAGACACTCCATGTATGGTATATTGTACTGTATAGGACCATTATTTGCCTACAATGTCGGCACAAAGCCAGGCATATATTCCATAGATAGGAGAAGGTGAATTCCACCGCATGTTCTATGTTTTGAGACCTTAAAAGAACCTTTGGAGACTGACAAGACCAGGGAACATGGAGGGTTTCTGTCCTGCTAAGCAGCTTTTGAACATGTCGAGGGAGTGTTGAAGCGTTTGATCTTCGGGCTACGGAGACGGACCGACGGACCGCTTACCAAACCCAATGGCTTCTTGTCCATCAAATGTTTGGAAAAACAGACTGCAACGACATTGAATCCACCTTAAAAAAATTTTGGGGTCGATACGTCTCAACGTCCTTCCGTCATTCCTCCCCCTCCGCGGCCAGGGCGCCACGTCCACGTGGCCGATGTCGGACGCCGGCGCTGTCGGCCGCGGTGGCTCCTTTGGAGTGGAGGTCGGTCGGACGGTGACGACCGAGACTGACTGGTCTGCGGTCTGCAGAAGTGCAAGTGCTGCAGGTGCTGCAAGTGAAGAAGTTTCACATGGCTTTTAAACTCTGGGCTTGAACTAAAGGGGTTGGTTTGGACCGAACAAAAGAGAGATGGCTTCTGGGCAGCGAAAGGGTCCAGGATTTGTAGATTCATAGGTGCAACATGGGGAGGTTCTTTCTGAAATGCTGGGTTGGTTTTGGAGGTATTTTTGACGTTGGCCGCTTTTGGTGAATCTCAAGCCGCAGTGGGCAGCCCCTTCTGTGCTTCCCAGTCAGTTTCAGCCCCTCAAGCTTGTCAAAAGATCCCATTCGGTTACCATGATCCACCGTGATCACAGTGGAGTCTCTCTCCAAGGGATGAAGTAGCTTGGTTAAGTAGCTTGGACGTTCAAGGGGCCCATGAAGCTGAGGATGTGGCCACCCCTAGGTCGCACTAGACGCTCATTCAAAGCAGATGTCAACGAAGCCAAGCTTGGGGATGCGAATGGGGCACCACACATGCTGCAGGATTTCATGCCACCTCGAAAAAGCAGAAGAATGCTGGTTCTTCGGGGTGACCATCAGACAAATCATAGAAGTTCTCATCTCACGTCTCTCATGTCCATACTACGTACAGAAACGCTCGTACGGCATCGCCGTGAGTTTGAAGGAACATGACGTGGACACATAACTCTTCAAATCCTCTTCTGGGTGCATTTGGGCGGCACCAAATTCCCATCAGGCCAGCCGTGTTGGGGCTCCGAGCCACTCCACTGGTCCGTGCGCCAGCACGCGAAGTCGCCAGGGGACCAGCTGGATCTTAGACATCGTTGGGCTTGTGCTGGTGCTTCTAGCTCTTTTCCTGGCGTGCCCCAGGCCAGCAGTTGGTACCCAGCACCACGTGATTCACGTGGTTGATTCACGTGGTGAAAAGGCCTGGCCTCAAAATGCATGGTGGTACAATGTGGTACATATGTTTTGATAGACCTACAATGTTGGCCAGTTGCAGAACTTGTAGGGGTGTCCGAATCATCCACATGGCTCCCAATAAGTCAGAGTCTAGACAGCCTTTCTTTGGGAATGGAACGGAATCTATACCTCCTGGATGGGCACATCCAAGTGTTCATGAGGAAGTCAGGACCGTAGGAGCTGTAGGGTGGCAACACCTCTTGGATCTTCAATCCAAAGACCTCCGTGGCACTGTGGCTTTTATTTTGTTGAGGCAACACCTCTTGGTCGGTTGAGTTCCTGCACAGGTCCCGCTGGCGCAAGGACACGCGGAAGGAGTGAGCAGGTGAGTACGCGTCGGTGTTCTGTGTCGCGCGATCTCGTGCCGGGCAGCCAGATTTGCGGTTTTTCTCGTTCACGAGAGAGGAAAGCACGGCAAGACATTGTGTGTTTGTTCTTCAGATGAGAAGCAGTAAAGAATATGAACCAGCACGAGGATCTATGGTGTTCTTACCCTTTCCCACATGCTCATTCCCTTTGTTTTGCCCTCGGTCATATGGACCATGAACATGGGGACCCCTCTGGGAAGAAAAATCTATATACCAGCAGTGGCAGTCACAAAGGGGTGCTTAATGGAGGTTAGGGGTGCCCATTATCCACTCACTTAGGGACTAAACACCACCCCGACATGTGACTGCTGGATGGAACCTCATGTATCCAGGCATCTAGCAGCTAGCAACCAGCAGGTGCCGTGTCTCGGAAGAGACCGATGCGGTGTCTTCGTCCTCCGGAGGGCCCCGTTTACGGATTCACCGTTGAGAAATGAGACTGAGGCGATGAGACAACAGGCACAGCGCTGCAGAGAAATCGGTTCGACCCTTCTGTTGAAACAATGGAAGGGCTCGTTAGCACACTTCACTTGGATCAAAACATGGTCCATGTGGATGTGGCTCAATAATCTTGTGATATGCACAGTCCAAGGTTCCAAACATATTGCCATTGGAGGAGTACTGCTACTGCAAAGTCTGAAGTCTACTGCCATGTGTTGAGCCACCTCTCAGCAGTGAAGCGAAGGGAGAAAGTGGCAGATCAGGTGAGGATCGGCGCGTTGCGCGCGTGACATCGCGCGTGCCCGGTGGGGATCGGTCGACCCCTTTTGGATTCAATCTTTCACTTGGGTGGGAAAGGACTGCAATGCAATAAGTGTATGGAACTCACCAGTTGAGATGGCTGATGTGGCTGGCAGAGGATGAAAGGCTATTGTGGTATATGTGGGAAGTTCCATGAAACTCCACGATACTTTATACATCTTTAAATGCATTTACATATACCGACCTCGTTTTGGTGCATTGGTCAAAAACCAACGTGGTGATAGGCGCTGATAAGAGCTTATTGGGAAAGCAAATGTTCATACTTTGCACACAATTTGAGCTGTCCTCAGTAACCCTAAAACGCTAAACCCTAAACCTTGAACCCATGCTCACCGCGTTGCTCCGTTGGAAGTTCTGACCGCTCGCAGGTATCAGCACCAGCAACATGTGGCTCTTTGATTCCGAAGGGAAGATCCAGAAATACGATAGCCCGGAGGCCAGTGGTCGTGACGCAGAAGAAGAGAGAGAGAGAGAGAGAGGAGGAAAAGATCAAAGAGTGAGAGAGCAAAGGGAGAAAGCAAAGAGGAAAAGAAGAAGAGAGCAAAGGGAGAAAGCAAAAGGAGATGAGAGGAGCAAGAGAGAGCAAAGAGAGGGCAAACAGGGACCGCTGCGGCCCATGCGGTCTAAGTACTTGTCCTGTCGATACGCCCACTTTGGAAGAGGGAGGACATCCCCTGTCGCGGCCCGGTGCGGCCATCATTCTTTACATGCACAAGTCTTGCAGGGGGTGCCGAGATGGTGAATTTGTTTGGGTCGAACAACGCATGATTTGTTTCTACAGCATGAGTCCATTTTTCATCTCTGAAATCCAACCCTTCCCGGTTTGGCCACGCTCAGCGTCTCCACCATCGCGGAAAGCGTCTCAACACCCATCCGCCTCGCTGAAACCGCGCGGAGCTCGCGCCGACCTCCGTGTTGAGCTCTAGCAGGACATCCTGCGTGCCTTCCTGCCGGTGCGCTATGCAGCCTACGAGCGCCGCAAGGATGGAGCTGGATGGAGCGGTGGACCCACATGCTGAACATCATCGACCTATTGTAGTATTAATGGTCTTTGGTTCATGGTTGAAAACAGCGTATGAGCTCTTGCTTGCAACTGTTTGGCCATTTGACCTCTGTTTTGATAGGAAAAGGCAATATTTTGGGTGGTTGGTGGTCCAAAATGGAGGTCACTCAGGTTTGAATTCAATGTATTTTTGGACGTCCCCCGCGCTTCTTCGTACCCGCCGGGCACGTTGTGGTTTTTCAACGGACCGGGAAGGACCGGGACCAGCTCGGCGGAAGAACTTGGCAATTCATCTAGATACAGCAATGGTGGCCACCACGGCCCCGTATAACTTGGAATGCTGAAAACACAATCTTCAAGCGAAGAACGATCGAACGATCCATGAAAAATCTGGAAGATGCGTCTATCTACTTGGTTACTTGGCGTTACATTTTCTCTTCATCACACGATGCTTGCAGAGTCGAGTCCAGCTTCCTGAGTTGAGTCGGAAGAGACGACTGGGGTGACTTGTCGTTACGGGTCGCAAAGAAACTTCCGTTCGATCCCCAAAGCGAGCTCAAGCAAGGTTTTCGAACCAAACGGGCCTTCCAAAAAAGGGTCCAGCCAACTTGCTCGAGTTCCGTCAAAGGTTGGAAGAAAGGTCCGGTGAAGCTCCATGTGGGGTCCCGACATGGAGAGATTGGACAGAGTCGAGGCTCCGGTGGAGCTCTGCCTAGAAATTGGTGAAACCAGCGGCGTGTCTGGTGGAACTTCCGTTTTCCAGGCCTTTCTGCTTGCGAAGATGGAGCGAGAGCTGGCGGTGATCTTCAACAAGCGCCTCGAACGAATGAATCTCTGGAATGCGCTTCTTCGGGCTGGGTGCCCATCAGCAAACGTTTTCTAGAAGATGTGGAAGAACACAAGCGATTCCCACGTCAACGGAACAAATGGATGATTCATGGCGATTCTGACACACATTCAAACAAGCAGATTGCCCAATCCTCGGGCCCTCTCGAGCCGCTTGGGCCGGGAACACCGACTGCACGGGAGCACGATGGTGGCCAGATTTGGTGCTCATATCGCTCATATCCCTCATCCACACGCCACAAGACGAAGCAAAGAAGACCGGTGGTTACGCCATGTTACACCCCACAGACGAACATGGACCCTGAGAAAAAAAAGAGAATTCACCCACGAAGCGTTGATGAAGCCTGTTGTCCCTGGAGAACCACGACCAGCCTCGAGTTTGGACCAGCCTCTGGGGTCTCAGGTTGGGCACGGAGACCCTACCAGTTCGGCCCCCTGGAAGAAGCGAAATAGACCTAAACCCATTGGGGGTCAGGGGGTCTCTCTATTAAATAACACACCAACATAGGTGGGTGAGTAGTGGTAGCTTGTGAATACCTACTACTGCCATAGCTATACAGTCTATGTGGGCTCTAAGGCTCAGCTTCGTGGAGCATGTGCTGGCCGATAGGCATGGAGAGAGATGTTTTTCGATGCTTTTTGGTATGCCAGGCAGAGTTTCCTTGCAGAACAACAAAAGAAAGCCAAAAACTGTGTCAAGTTCAAAGTTCATGAACCCTACTGGAAGGTGGATGTCGCCTCTGTTTGTTTGTTTGGGGACAGCCTTATTGTTCAGGCTCTTCTGTGGCACCCCAGCCAGTAGTGTACGACTTATATCTCCGTGCAAACTTTGGAGGCTTTAAAATTCATTTTGCCCTGTGCTAATCTCCATCCAGCCCTCTGAGGAAGTCTTGGACGCCAATCCCAATCTATAGGTCTTAGACCCTTCGTGACATTTTTGGTGTTTGTAGATGCTCAACAAATGACAAACGCCTGTCCCCTGAGCAATACCCGCCCCCAAAAGAAACGACAACGACCTTGTTCTATCTTTGGCTTTCCATGGCATTCTCGAACCTTCTTTGTGAGAAAACACCAAGAAGTGTCAAACAATCATCAATTCCTAGCTCCTTCACCCATTGAGTCGCCGTATATGCGCACAAACCTTTTCGCACAAACGCGGCCGCATCCGCAGCAGACGTGCAGACGTGGGTGTCCGCAGCAGACGGCCGTGGGTTTGCCTCAGTAGGCTGGATGTGGAAAAGAAGAAGATGCTGGATCTTTGTCGGAAGATGCGGAAATTAGGCAGGGAAAGCGCACGCATGGACCGCATGGACGAAATACAGGCCGAGGTCTCTTCTGCATTTGGCACTTTTTTCAGGGAACTGAGATCCAAATAGACCAGGGCATCCAGTTTTTTCTTTATTTTTTTCAACGTGTATTGGGACATTGTTGCATGGTTTGAATAGGCTCGCTTCTGCCTGTTGTGAATCTTGTGCGTGCTTATGGCCTGCACCGACTTATATTCCATGGCATAAAAAAGTGGCCCAGGCTGTCCGTAACTGCTATCTACACAGGGGTGTTCACTTAGAGGACCTTCTCAACCATTTCAGACCTGGAATGGCTGATGGCTGCATTGCAGACGAGACCGAGGAAGCCAAGTGGCTCGAGGCTTTTTTTAAACCGGCATTGCCCAAAGGGTCCTGCAATGTCATGCACATTGGGATCTTGGTGAATGGGTCTATATAGAACTATATTGTATATGCTTGGCAGATGATGATTACATTCAAATACATTCAACAGAATCGGTATGATTCATCGCTTTCTTCCATTTTCATCCATTTTCAGGTTTCGGCGCGGTTTTCAGTGTTCTTCCTTCAAAACAAAGTTGTCATTCAAGTGTTTGGCATTGTTCTGTGTACTATAATCAGCCCAAAGCAGATAGAAAAGCGAGTTCTTCCCCAAATAAACAAGGCCGCAAGGCCTTGAACCTGAAACTACGGCACCGTCATCGCACGGCCGATCTTGCCTTCCGATTCATCGCACCGAGCATCGTCGATCGCGCTGATCGTCGATTCTGCTCTCGCTCTCTCTCCGCGCTGCGGACGTCGCGTGGAGGCCTGCAGCACATGCGGGGGGAACCCGGTGACGTGCACAGCGGCACAGCGAGGTCGTCTCGTCCGTCGCCGTCGCCGCCCGCAGTCGCCCAAGAAGCGCTTGGCGACTTTTTTTTCGCCGAATGACCGGCCAGGCCAATGTGGCCAGTGAAAAAGCCTAAGAGGTCATCGACATGGCCATTTGTGGGAGAGACGGATCGGATGAACTGGATGAAGATCCATTTGCAAGCTGTTTGTTTGATTGGACATAAAGCAAAACTGGTCTCATCTAAAAATGGTGGGTGAAGACCGCTGTGTCGAAGAGCCTGGGATTGCCATGCCATGGCCATTGCTACCATCCCTTCAAATCCCTCCAATAAACATGGAAGTGGACAGCCCCCTGTTTGTAAAGTAGTCTTCCAAGCGCCGTGTTCCACTTTCATGATTGTTTCAGGGTGTGTGTGTGTGTGTGTGTCGGTAGTTTCCTCCTTCACCACGAAAACGGCTCGTATATGTTCTAACTTTTGACATCCACAAGAATTGCTATACACTCGGAGGACAGCTAACATGGAAAGCCCACCTTTCCTTAGTAGAGGATTTCATGGTCTTCGTTCGGGGCATGCCATCCACTTCCACCACCAGGCAACCACGCTCCAGGGAGTGGAACGGTCACAAGCAGCACGTGAAACGTGGTGAACTCCAAGAGCTCCAAGACCCCGGTTGGAAATCAGAGAGCTCCAACTCTCCCTGGTTCCTTGATAACTGCCTCTCAAGGGCAGAGTCAGAGGGTAACTGCCCTGATTCTGTGCTTGGTTGTGGGCTCGAATGACGCAACCGAAGCTGTCGCAGCTGTCCACTCGGTTTGGGCTGACGGATTTCCGACGGGTTTGCTGCTAGAAGCTTACAGATGCGTTTGGGTGTATATTAGGGGAGACCTGGCAAGCAAGGAGTCAATGGGTTGTATCTGTATCAACTTGTATCATCATTAGAAGTTAGAAGTGCTCTTTGGACTCGCTTCAGCCGGTGTTTGTGGGTTCTTTGACACCCATGTCATGGTCGAGGCACCAGATTCCCGAGTTATGAACCGCTCCACCCGAGTCTTGGGTCTTGGGACTCCCTAAACGACTGGCATGTAGAATCAACCATGTTCAACAAATGAGGTCTCAGATTCAGAAGCGATCTCCGGTGAAGCTGGACTCTGAGGCGCGCACGGTGAAGCTGGACTCTGGACTCGTGTTGAGCGTCCACCGGACGGTGGGCCCAAAGGGGTGCAGTTCTTTTTTTGGTTCTTTGTATGATGCCTTTGGCCCTGAAAGCGTTAGAGGTTGGCACACATGGGCAGATGGTAGACACCGTGACACCGTTTCAATAGACCCGGTCCTGGTGGTGTTTCGTCTCATGTTCATTACAGGCAAACAAGCGTCGTTGGACGGTGAGATCCCAAACATGTTCCTTCAAAGATCGTTGAATTGCTAGGGTTCTGTGGACCTTTTGGCATAGGGGCAGCTTGAATTTGTAACTGTAAGGAAGCATCCGGCCTTGGTGCTGGTTGCTTTCAAAGTATGGTGAAGTGTCCCTGTGTGTGTGCAGAGAGCAGCAGGACGCACACGTCCGGGGTTTCAAGCTTGATTGTGAGTTGGCGCTCTCTGCACTTGGTATGCCTCCCTGCAATATGGACTGTACCTTTGGGACCAAGTGCAACCATTAGTTCCTAACATGTTGAACTTCCACGTTGCTGTGTTTCAGAACCGCAAATTTTGGACACAGGGACCACAAAATTTGGAAGGCTGCGCGGTGATTGATGCATTAAAACACAAAGGCATTCTGAACTTCTCAATGGATGCCAATTGGTATACCAGTTTGTATATATATATATATATATTATATACACATCATATTGTATAATTGTAAAATCTTAGAAGGAGTGCGTCCGAAAACACAACTGGAATATACTGAAATCGATTTTAAGGGGCACATACCAAGCCTTTGTTATTATTGCTAAGGGTCGTTCATAGTCAGTCCGACTCCAGCTTTTTGATGAAAGACACATGTGTGTATATGATGTTGGATCATCATCAGGACAAAACCATAGAGGATAGTGTTTAGGCACTTGGACTTGAGATCTTGTACTGTGATATCAAGTCACTGGAAGCTCGAGCTTGATTCTGCTGACGCGACATCAAGTGGTCAGCTAGATTAATGAGACAAGATGGGAATCGTTTTCAGAGGAAGCGGACACATGCTAGCTACTCAGGCAGGCAACAGTTTTCCCAGAAGGAAATCACGGACTTGCAGCAGTGACTTGAACCAACATCCGGTAGGAAAGCACTACCTCCTACTGTGGAGATTGAAGCTAACCTACATGATGCGAGTAGAGTTAGCGCTTCATGGGAGGGCACAACCTGCTCAAGAATGCTCTTTTCAATCAACTCAGACAAGCAGATCAAACAACTGACAACAGCAAGTCCCCATATGAGATCCACTGAGCCCGTAGGTAAGGAGAGAAATCACAAGGCGACATGCAATGACTCGTTGAGAACACCATGTCATGGTCATGGTTGCGAAGAGAAACATCAGGCGCCAGACACTTAGGATATCCTTGTACCGCAAATTCCTACTTGGTGTTTGTCGCCGCCTCCATTTCGGCGCGCAATTGCGCGCGCTCCGCCTGCTGGCGGACATCTTGCGCGATGCAGGCGGGTTTTTCCACCGGTCGCGGGCTGGGTGGGGCCACCACAAGAGCTGCAGAGGTTCTTCAGGAAACCAAAGACCCACTGCCAAACACGGCCAAACACCTATTGTGTGATTTATGCATGTCTATGTGTTAGAGTTTACCAGACTGCTCGCCAGGTTCTCTGGCTGTTGCAGGTCGGATGGATTGGTCTTGAAAGCACCCAATGTAAGTTACTTAAGAGAGCCTTGCATTGAGTCTTGAGGGCCACAGGGAATGAAAGCAAACTATACCCACAAGGCATTTGACATCTGACATGTACAGCAAGCCAACATCGCTGGCCAACCTGGGCAACCTTGATCTAAATCACAGAGGTGGACCATCTGGGGTAGTTTCTGCCAGGTACCTGGCCCTGAAGCGTCACGCATCGCCAGCATCTTGCGGGCGCAGGACGCAGATCCCACGCAGCCCGGGGGGGTTAGTTCAGACGAGCGCCGGACGCTACCCAGGGTGTGTTTTGTGCCGGGCGCGTTGAAAGAGGTGGAGATTTGGGTGGACCAAATGAACAGAATAGACTACAAGGGCTTCAGGTTTTGAAATCAACAATCACTTGTAGTTGAAACCAGAATAGACCTACAGCCTACAGCGGGGTCCTGAGGGGTTCAGGTTTTGACCCACACCCGGCAGGGAGACCGGGAGACCTCCCAACTCAGAGGTTTCAGCAGCAAAAACCATTGGGTGGAGGGTCTACGTATTTAAATGCACATCCATGATAGCAGAAGTGGGGTCGCATGGGCCAGTTGCAGTTACTTCTTGGAATTGACTGAAGCGGTTTACAGTCAAAGCATGTTGAGAAGCGAAATTCAGATCCTGACCCGCCTCCTCGTGTTTCGTCAACGCACCTCTTCTTTCACGGCCCTCCTGTTCTTTAAGGTTTTTGGCTCCCAGCCGAACGGGGGAAGCCTCCGGTTAGAGAGGCCTCTTTTCAGATGCTCGAAATCCATCAAATCGATGGTCCTGGATGGTTTGTGGATCGATTCGATGTGGTCGTTCGGATTGTCTCTGGCCAGGATGTTTGGCCAGAGGCCATGAGCTCCATGGACGCTTAGAGGGAAAAGGCAAGGGGAGGGAAGAAAGAGCGGGCGATGGTTGTTCGGTTTTCCGATACGACCGCTTGGAGGAGGGACGGATGCAGGCATCAGATTCTCTTTGGTCAGATCAGCGTCAGGCATCAGAACAGACAAGCATCAGAGATGGTCGGGACGAGCAGAATGGTTTGCATGTCGGGACTGGACGGTCGGGACGGTTGGGATGGTTCACCATGGCAGTATACATAGCCTGCGACATGGATCCAACAAGTCAGATTTGAATCAAACCAGGTGTAATATATATATATATTATATATATATAAATAAATATTAATATCTCATATGTTCTTCGAATAAGCGTGCTCAAACAACGAAGGCAGATTCCAATAAGCAGCCTTGAACTTGCACAGCCAAGAAGGGATGCTTGCTGAACCTGATACACTGTGGTACACTGTGGTGCTTGGTGAACCTTCGTGATCTAATTTTGGTTGACCTCCCGTGCTCTGTGAAGACTCTGAACCAGGACTGGTCGGGCTCCAGGTGGGTCACGAGTCACGACCCCATGAGTCTTCAAGCGCGTCATCACTGAGGATCTCGCCCATCGACTGGCGACACAGCAACGACAGCTGGTGGACTACAAGATGCCGGGGGACTGGGGAAGAGAAGGACATGGTGTGAGCCATGGACATGACGGCACCAAGACTGCCGGCGCATGTCTGACATCGCACTGGGTTCGCGTGACCCCTCAAAAGGACCCAGGTTCCGTTTTTGGCATCTCCGTACAGAATCCTTGCGGCTGATAGCTACCTGGCGCCATACGTATGGCTTCACCACACAAAGATATGCTGGAACATGTTGGAAACAACAATTCGCACAATATAAGCTGCGTTCTTCCCATGTCCCATCAATCCAACCATAAACAACAGTATGGGCCCTGTCCCTTAACTCTCTATCAGTCAATGGTTGAAACCCTGGTTGACGCTTCCGCTAGACATGGCAAAGTGCCGCTTGCCGTGCTTCCTCGTTGCATTCCTTCCTGCCAAGCTCTTCCGCCGAGCTGCGCCGAGGTCCAGTGCCTTTCCCTGCTTGACGACGCCGCCCTCCGTGGAATGCCCAGGGGGGGGTTTGTCGCATCCGTTGCTGCAATGACTGGCGGCCGTTGCTACACACGGTGACTCAGGGCAGCGAACGGTGCACTCAGGAACCTCAAATAGGGGACTCACTTGAAGGTGGAACACTTGGGAGATCTTGGGAGAGTTGTTTGGATCAGCCAGCCTTCTTGCCCCATCTTTCTGCCGCCAGTCTTTGGCCACTTGTTCGCCGGGACTTGCTTCAGGTCTCAAGGTGCTGTGAGCCACAAATACCGAAGAAGACAGCATTTGGCGCGAAGACCTCCGACCACTCAACCACTAGGGTGTAGCTCATTACCAGTAACAGTCGGCAAAAGAGTATCAGTACCACAATTTTTTGAACCTGGCCTGCAACCTAACCATCATCATCCACCGGGCCCTGGTCATGGGATATACACAACTCCAAACAGTTTGCAGACTCTGTGGCAGAACACAGAGCCCACGTGGTTGGGGTACGATCATCTCGAACTCCGTAGCTTGGAAGCACCGCAAAGCTCAGGTCTTGGTGAAAAGGGAAAGCAAGTGTGTCAGAGCCTAGCTGTATGCGGCGTGACCCAAACGTTTCCCCCAAAAAACTCGGCTTTCTTGGATTGCCTCATGCCGGAGCTGCCGCCCTTGCCCACCTACCACCAAGTCTTGATGTCGGGCAGCGAGGAGAGCCGGGTTCGGGCGGTGGGGCCGGGGTTAGCAGCGAAAGGTCAGAAAAGAGGACTCTTTTGGTGGGGAAGTAGGGACTCGGTAGATCTCGGTAGTAGGTATAGAACGGAGTTTCAAGAGTCCAGTTCTCACCCTTGCCGCACTTGTATCCAACCAACATGTGGAGACGCAAACAGATGTGTAGAAGAGAACGGTTGGAGACGCATGCATCCGGGGTGGTCGCTTCCACCGGATGATAGCTTTCAACCGACCCCACGGCTGCTTCGCACAGCGACCGCCGGCCACCGATGGCACAACCGAAGTCAGTGACGCCGTTGATGGATTGGTCGATGTGCTTTTTGAAAGACGGTACCGTTTTCATACTCTTTACGACAGTGCTGCATCTATGCACCAATACATATGCGTTTAAATGCATTTGGTTGTAGAGCAAGTGCCTGGAACCCCAGAAAGATATGCATGTTTCATGATGCTTCCCCATTTCCAGCCATTTCCATCCATTTCCTATGTTTCAGGATCTCAAGCAAACCATATTGGAAGATATTGGAAGAGCCAGGTCACTGTTTCTGGTTGGGACTAGGGTTCCATGACATGTGCGTCTGTTTGACCGCACAACGCGCAGACGCTGAGCCCTTCTTACGCCTCAAGCCCTACGAACCAACGACTGGGAGACGAGACGGAAGTCAAATGCAATGATTACGACTGCAAATGCCACTTGGCGAATCGCCCAAAAGAAGCATGGCACTGATGAGAACCTTTGGTGTTTCCGTTTGGTGAGACCGGAGACCAGGGTCCATTGGTGTGACCACTTCTTTTGCAATTTTGGTGTATCAATGCCCCGCCAGAGAATTGACTTGCTACCGAAACTGGGAAGGTCACTGTTTTGTGGGAGAAGAGACCCCCGATCTTCCAAAACTTGACAGGATGATAGGTTTCCCTTTATTTTTCCGGAACATCCCCATGGTTTCCAAGTCTGAGCTTGTCACAACCTGGTCAAATCGCGGGAGAGTGACTCGAGAAATTCGACCAGACACCAGTGGTTTTTGCCAATAACTTTTACTCTCCCTGGAACTGTTTGTGGAGGAAGAGAACCGGAGCAAGGGTCCGCGCTTAAGTCCAAAGAGCAGTAGTGGAAATGGAAGCACAGGCCTCCAAGTAGGCATGGTCTTCCAAGGGACCATGCCATCCACGTAACCACCAGTTCCACGTTCGGAGTGGAACAGTCACAAGCAGAACATGGACCTCCTCCCCTCCTCCGTTGGGAGAGAAAGAACTCCTCACGTAGCCGCACTGGGACCGCCCATTGGACCGCCCATTGGACCGCTTGGGGCGATGAAGACGAAGACGAAGACTCGGCACCCGCTTGCATCATGCCGCTTGCGACCCTCAAAACCCTGGGCGGAAGAATTGGATCCCACTAGATGTGACCAGTTGCCCTCTGACTCCACACATGGTTTGGTGGACAAACACATTGGGTTGTAGAGGAAAGAACGTGTTCCTTTTGGGGCCATGTTGTACTTCCGATGTGCTCATTGAAGTGTTCAAGACATGTCCAAAGATCAACTCTCATGGATCACCTTCGCATTTGAAAGGACGTCCGAGTGGGGCCAGGTAGCATGCCCCAATCCATGAAGATCATGAAGTATGGAATATTGACCTACATGGATCCTTAAACGATCTTTAAAGAAAGCATCTTACAACCACCCGAATGGATTGTCAGTTTCATGGATCGTTGGACATGAAACCAGTTTCGCAGACCCGCGAAGGCATGGAGGCAAAGTGTACCTGGTGGGGGCGCCCAGCGCGAGAAGCGCCGGGACTCTGCAGGGCAAGGCAGCAAGAGCGCAACACACAACAAATCTGCTGTATATCATATATGACTGTATCTGTATATAGTATGCGCATGTATGCACATGTACTGTATATATATATTATATATATAGCGTCATGTGTAGACCCCGAGTAGACCCCCAAGAATGAGATAGAATGAATGAAGAGTCATCTTTTAAAGGCATAGTAGTAGATAGATTTATATAATTAGATTTATATATGTAATTTACATTAATTTACCTTGGAACATGCGTCTCAAAAGGAAGTCACACGGTTTTCGTTCTGCGTTCATTTTGCCGAGATGGCGACCGGGTTGGTGAGAAACCTCTTGAGTTTCGTCGACGAAGCAGGGACCCACGGTGGTTGATATGGAGATGGGTCCAAGCTTGGCGCTCTGGGCCGTCGGAAAGTCAACCAAGGTATCCTGGTTTTGAACCTGCATGCTTCGTCTGTTGGAGTTCGACTTGGGCCGACGCAGTGAAGGTGCCTTCCCAAAGACGAAGAAAACAAAGATCCTCACACTAGAGGAGCCCTTAGCTCGTTATGTCTGAAGAGCAGCCGCAGCCCTTGAACCACGGTTCGGGATTGCCCTCCAACGACCTCCAAGTGCTTTGCTCGAGCACGAGTGCAGGCCTTCTAAGACGCCGTACAAGAACTCTTCGCTTCCCTTCTGGACATCTGGCAATTGCGTCTGCACATTGCCGCGCTCAAACGAGACAGCACCCCAAAAGACCAAGCTGGTAAAGCAGGTTACAAAAGCGCTGACATGCAACTGACGCAAGGACTGGAGGTCAACAAACAAAGGCGTGTGACTTGTGCCCCAGCGTACGAATTTGCATTGCTCTTGCTTGCCTCATGCTGGAATCTGACGGTGCAAGCCTCCTCCTGTTTGCTTGACTTGCGCCTTCTGTTCTGACGTCGCCGTGCAGCTGCAAAAGCTTCATGCAGCCGTGTTCGCACTTTAATAAAGCAGGGGGAAAGCAGCGAGGGCCCGCATCGCACTTTGATCCTGATCGTCCCTCAGGGTCTTTCGGCGGCACTGGCTGTACTCGGGCTAATTGCGGCCTTCCGCTTAGAAGACTCGTGACGAGAGGTTGGGCTCTATGATGCTCTTTTGTGATCTTCCACCCGGTCTTTGGAAGGCAGGCCCCCTTGCACGGACTGGTTGCACATGTGATTGAAAAACTCAGCCAAGCCCCATGCCTTCAAAGACCCGGTTGGGATGAAGATCATGGTATTGCATGTATCTTGCTGCTCCCAATGAAGATAACGAAGGGTGGCCATACATGTAATTTGACTCTCCCCCTGGTTGTGGGGACAACGGGATAAACCAACAGTTTAGCTCCCAGGAAGTTGGTCACCGCTGATCACACTTTTTGGCACTTCAGCCCCCCAGAAGCCCTCTCCGCATGAGCGGGCGCGGCAAACGAAGGAAGCGGAAGACCGCATGTGTAGGAAAAGAATCAATCAGGTTGGAAGGCCTTTGCGGGTGTTATTGCAAGGTGTCCCCTGTTGGCGGCCTCAAAAAAGTGAACCATTGTACGGAGAGTGCCAGACGTTCAGGTTCCCCCCAAGACAAAGCAATGGTAGCATATGCTTAAGCCAGCATCTCGGACTGTAGTCCCAACCTAAGCCAGTCCAACTGCAAACAGAACGCATGCAAACGCAACATTTGCTTTTTCAGCAGCAGAGGACCACGCACTTATTCAATGATATTCACTGTTTCTTTTTGTGTTTTCAGTGTTTTTGTGTTGTTAGGACTTCTGCGCTGCCAACTTCTCTCCTTTTCTTCATTGTGCACAACGAGTTCGACCTCTTGCCTTTTTGACAACGGTGTATCTCACTCTTCCTCCAAACAGTAGCTGTCCTTCGTTTTTGGTGCTGTATCCTGAGGCCTCCTGAGGCCTCAATGCCAGTTGCTGCCGACCTCCATGGTAGCCGGGACCGCGTGTTCTGCCATGCGCGTGTGAGCCCTTTGGCGAGACACGGTGGTTGGTTTCGAGAGCAAAAGTTAACTTGGACGTGCGCAAGAATAGGGAGGCTACAGATCGGTTGTTATGGGTCTGATGGGTACTGCGATTTTGATACAAAACATTACAAAACCACATATTGTGTCTATTCCATGAATGTTGGGGTAAAAATGTCAAAGTGTTCCGCGCCTTCTTTTATTCTAGCCTTATTTGATCCAACCTCATTCTGCATTTCGGACCCTCCGTCTGTGAGTTGCTAGTTGAGTTAAGTGCAAAAAAATCAGAAAACATAGGAAATACAACTGGAAAACACAAATTCACCAGTTGCATTTTTTAAAAATACACCTTTGGCTTTTGCATTTTCAAACCGCAGCCCTCTAGAAATTGCGAAACTGCAAGAAATATTCAAGGAAATTGCAACTTGATACGCATTGATATGGGTTGGATGGGAAGCTGGCCCCCTTGTCGTTTGGAGCAGCCTCTCGTGGTTGTCGGGTAGCCTGACCACGTTTCGCTGGTT